TTATTCCAAACAGCGGCTCGAGTTCTCCGTCCTTGAGTATGTGGGTGAACGTGCCTACCGTCCGCCGCTCCTCTCTCGTCTCGCCACCCCCTGGAGTGACAAACTCGATTTTGATTGGAAAACGAAGCAATCCGCGGGAGCGGCTAGCCCCGGCTACCTACATCACCCCCGGTATATTAGCCTTCGAGGGCTGACGTCTTCTCGAGTCAAGTCGAGCCACTCCGGCGAATCTCTCCGATAGCGAAAATTTACCTTCAATAATTATTTCGACAAACCGCTCGCTTTTTAGACGCTATCTTTTTAAGAATAATATTACGAGATTCATAAAGACGTGAGAATTTATAATACATGGAATAATCTCTACCGCCCCGCGAAGTTTTAACCCTTTCGATTGCAAATTCGTGATTGGAACTACGTTTAAAATTAATGGGACGGGAAAGGGGGACGCTTCTTCGAGGCGCATCTTCCGGTGAGGTGCATTTTGCAACCTTTTGACCCACGTGGAGCTTGTCGCGGCGTACTCTGTTCGTGCAAGCGCCGTCTCTCCGGCGAGGCACACAAAGCAACGGGAGCATCCCCGGCCGTCACTTCCGCTTTTGTTACGTCCGTATCCAGCGCGCGCGCGTGCATGTGTGTGCAAACACACGTGCACACATAGACGGAGATCGCGGTGCATCGTCGCCGACTTTGAACCACGTTCGATTAAGCCCCACAGATGCGCGCGCGCGTGCACGTACTCCATCAGATTTTTCACGCGGTCTGATTGGCCGTTGTTGCACGGGGCCGTTCGTCAAAGCGACCGTGTCGTTGACAAACTCGCCCGATATATGTATGCCGACCACCCCAGCGCCGTGGTACACCCTCGATTTTATTGTTTCCCTAATTCCCTAGCTCGGGGTATTTTTAAACTCGTCTTTCCATCCCGGCGTCGATTCCAAATAAACACATTAAAATCTAACGACCCGTCCTTAACTCCAAGTTTTTTTTTCTCCTCTTTAATTAAACTCGACATCGATTTTATTAAAATAAATTCGAGAGAAGAGAGATCGTCATTTTATTCGGTATCTCTTGCAAATTTAACTGTGAATTGAAATAATGTTTAGTGAATTCGTATTGAATTTTGTAGTTTTCTCGGTTGAATTTTTCTGCCTGACGGATACCTCGGAGGTGTCCGCGAAAGTGTCGCTTTTCGCCACCCACGGCCTCGTAAAGCGCAAAGTGCAAATGCACACCGTCTGAATTATTTTCCGAGGAGTTTCCGCGTCGGGCACGGCGTTAATCCTTTATCGCGATGCATCACGCGGCAACGCGAATTGGGATATAGTTTGACGTGTCGCTTGTTTGACGCGGCCCCAAATTTTCGCGAGACACGTCATCGTGTCGGGAGAGTCGTCGGTGTCGGAATGTTTCCGCGGCGAATAAACTTTTCAGCAACAGCAAGATGTCCTACGCGTTGTGTGGAACAAAGTTACGGCGACAAAACTTATGAATACGCTCTCTCGCATGCGACTTAACAAACGCGGATCGGATTTCGCGAAAAGTTTGAAGAATATCGGCGACGACGCATATTAAACTGTAATCGGTAATAAGGCAAGAAATAGAATTGAACGGGATTATATTATTCTTGGCATTAATTATTACGTTACTTAAGTGCCAATTTAAAGCATCGTTTAATCGTTGAGATACGTCTTTTCTTGTGATTTTTCCTGAAAATTTAAGAATGGAAGATCCGCGACACACGCAGACCGATTTTTATTTTCATATCTCGTAATTGATTCTCAATAATATGCAATAATTTGGCAGAATCGACAACATGAGCAATCATTTCCTCTCTCTCTCTCTCTCTCTCTTTCTCTCCGTCTCTTTTATTCTAATTTGTTGGCAATTTCCGACCGTATTCACAATTCGTGTTTCTCCAAAACATGATCTTCGATTAAAGTGCTGAAGTGAAATTACGCGCGATACAACGACAGATATGAATATTGTATGACTGATGAAATAATTTGATCGCATTTCATTAGACACCAGTAATTTGCCAACAATTGGCCACTTCATTCTTAACTGCAAATTTATGTAAAAAATACAATTAATAAATTGTACATATATTTACAGAGAACAACTTTTCGTTATCGTATAAATAAATGTTTTAGAAATGATTTAAAGAATTGTATTTTACTCTTATACATATTAAAAGTAATTTCAATATAAATTAAAAATTTAGAAATAATTTTAAAATGAAGAAGAAAAATTCACGTCCTGTTTTCCTGGATTCCGCAGCTCCAGTTTTCAAATTTTCGCAACAGATTTGTAATTGTCAGATAAATAAATCGTTTCGATTGTCGGAAAAGGCGCACGAAGTGGCTTCGTAGCTCTTACGAGTCGATCACCGATGTGACTTATGATCTCTTCTATTTCTCTCTATCTCTTTCTCTTTGTTTTCCGCTCCCAAAGCTCCGAGCAATAATGAACGCGTCAATTTTCTATCTCGTCCCATCCGCTCGACCCCCCCCCGCCCCCCTTCCTCTTGCCCCTCCCGCGACGAAGCTGTCCCTATTTTCTCGTGCAATTTTTTTCTTCCAACTCCTTTCACCTGTTATCGGCCGGCTTGCTAATGGCACGCGATTGCCTTTCGCGTTTATCCGGGAAACGGCGTATTCCCGCGTCTGACCGACGGACGGGTGGCGGAGGGAGGGGGGGGGCTGCGGACTGCGCCCATATCCGCGACCTTTGCCCTCCGCGATCGTGTCGGCGACACGCGCGAGCCCATCCTGACGTTTCATTTCTCGCGACGCGGATCGACATTCGGCTCCCTTCCCCTTCCCTCCCCCGCCTGCCCCGTCCGCGAACGTTCGTTCGGCCAACGGCACGTTGCGAAATTAGCCCTTCACGGGAGCGGCAGCAAAGGAAGGAAATTTTTTTCCGCGTTTCTCTTATTTTCTCTCTCCACGATCTCTCTATTTTCCATTAATTTCCGCGTAGCTTCCGGCATCCGAAAGCACTTAAACTTTGCTCTCGCTCTCTCTGACGAAATACCGCGTTTTTTTTCTTTTAAATAAATATCAGGATGATTTATTTATCTGAATTGGAAAAAAGGAAAAAGATAATAAAACGTGAAACGCGCGCGCATATGTACGTGTCGTCTCGAATGGGGCTGCTTCCTTCCGCGAAGGGGTTAAATCTTTCCGAATCATCTCGAAAGGTTTTAAAAATTCAACAAAGGCTCGGACGAGCAAATGGATCTTAAATATAACATCCCTCCAATTCGACATATCCCATCGATATCCCATCGCGGGGGGGGGGGGGGGGGGAAATGGACGCGAGATAGAGCGGCGAAATCAGTCTTGCTCTGTCTCTCGTACTTTCGTTCTTTTTTTTCGAATTTACATAATTGAAACGGAGGAGAAGGGAGGAGAAAGGTAGAACGCGACGCGCAACGCGAAAAGTCACGAGACGATCATTTCCAATTTCGAACTAATTTTACGGTCAAATTGAAAACGACGCAGTCGTTGTTATTATTATAACCGAGAACACCGCCTATCGATCGGCAAGGGCCATTAAACTCGAAACGACAAAATATAGTTATTTCATAGATGAATGGAGGACTATTACGTTTGAATGGCTATTAACAATTTGGTGCGGCCTGGTGATCAATTATTATGTATTCATTTCTGTGTGTGCGAACGCGCGTATGTACGTACGTGTGTGTGTTTGTATATGTGTGTATGCGTCCGAGGCACGTATGCCGCAATTTAGGACCGGCGACACTTTTTTTCCCTCCCACCGTCTTTAATGCGAAAAGTCGACAATTCTACCGCCGTATATCGATATACTTACAAAATTAATAGAATCGTGTCAGTTCTCTTTTAATTTAATTGTAACGCATGCCGCTCGAGGCAGGAAGAATTGAGAATGCGCGCGAGAAGTGTGAATAAAATTGATTGTCGCCGATATCGGACTGTATTTGTAATATTTGTATGCATCGTTAAGGACCCAACCGGTTGAATAACCCAGATCTGCTTAATTCCGACGGTGATATATGGCGGATATACCGCGCGCGCGATGACGCGGACCGACGAGATCTTTCCGTCTCTCGCGCGCACGCGTGAATACATATAATGTTATACCGCGCCGCGGTCGTTGACGGATGAAAATTTGATTCGCGACCGACTAAATCAAGTCACTTACTCGGCATACACCGACGTCATTCAGATCACATTAAAACGTCATGATGATACATGTATATACATATATATATAGATATACCTCTCTCTCGCCCAGCAACAATGAAACAACATTTACTATTCCGTTCTCATACAGAAAGACAAACACGAAACTCGCTCCACGGACTCTTTTCCCTCCCCTCCCCGCCCCCTTTTCCACTTTCCCGCGGCCGCTCCGGATCCTCCGGTATTCTCTCGCGGAATCGAATTTCCGATGGACGCGTGTTTTGCCTTTCCCCGAGTCCTCGAATTCACGGATCCCAGGAGCGCCGCGGACACAATCCTCGAGAATCGCAAATCCGCGGATCGCGCGGACGAATCCGGGACCTCCCGCCGGTGAGGCTGTCGGAGGGGTCGCGGATTAAGAGGGATCTACGGATTCTCGCGCCAGCGGAGCGTCACAATGCATTCCGTCCCCCCCCCCATCCATTCCTTCTATACGAAAGAGAGAATGCGCATCTTTACGATACACTTGCATCCACCCCCTGCCCTTTTCGTAACCCCCCTTAGTGATATGTATGATTTATTATCAGTCAGTAGCTCTAAGTTTGAAATTCGTGTATGCAACTCAGTTCCTTCCTATAATGACTTGTGTACATGCTACGTTACGTACCTATTACCCTTATTAATGTATATCTGTCTTGGACGCGAAAACGAAGCGAGAGAAAAGATAAAAACGACCTGTCAAAAAAAAAAGAAAAAAAGACGAAAGAGAGAAAGGTCGTGCGACAATCAGCCACGTTCCCACTGACTAACATCGGTCTTTTTTTCTGTTTTCAGCTGCACAGATTCCACAACGCGGAAGTAAGTACGATTAAATTACGTTTGAAAAACCGCAACTGCTCTCCTCCATCCTTCCGTCTCCCACCCTACGTCTCTTCCCGTCCGACCCGATCTTTTCCTCCCTCGCACTTCTTTTCGCCTCCATAATTGCGATTATCGTCGATTAGACCGCTTAGGGGCATCGAAGCGAGGAAGAACTATGCGGAAAATGTCACGGCACGCCAGTGTCGAGGCCCTTTCTGTTTCGTGAATGGAAACCAAAGTGCGAATTGAAGGACTTGGTTAAGCGGTCGGCGCGACGCGAGTCCCTCCCTCCTGTATCAGAACTTGTTCCCGAATCGCTTCGAACTGTCTCGATAATAGCGCTTAATTGGTTCCGATTAACGTGAATCTTCGAAGATCTTACAGTCGCAAGTACAATCTCTCGAGAAACGTGTATAATTATAAAAAAGATATTATCATTTTTGGAGAATTTTTTATCTCTCGGGTTCTAGGATCTTCACAATCGAAAACAGAATATTCGATCCTAGAATCTATTAATAATAATTTCTGGACGAAACTCTTGAATTCTTTGTGAAATTTTCATTTCTCGGAATATTGCTCGGAATATCGCGATTTTGGAATCCTCGAACTTGAATTGAAGCCCATGCGTCCGGCAACGAAGAGTCTAATTAAAAACAGAAAAATGATCTTGTATACCAATACAAAGAGAAAAATTATTTTGCATACCAATCTCTCGTTACCATTGAAAAGGACCGAAATTAGACGCTATTATCGAAGTTTCGCCTCGCGATTATCATCTTCTCTACAGACCCAGTCAGGAACTTCCAAATATACGTACGTTTCGATTCCCAATCGCATGTCGCATTACGTGAAACGGGAACGCACCTGTGCACCGCACTGTTCTCTGTCTCTCCCTCTATATTTCTCTTTTTATCTCCGTCTCTACCTCTCTCTCACGAATTCCTCTAATTTCAGCATGCAAGAGGAAAGACGAGATGGCGAACCAGGCAGAACACCAACAGCCCGCCCCCAAGAAACCGCGGCTGGTTTTCACAGACCTTCAGCGCCGTACTCTACAGGCTATTTTTAAAGTGAGTACCACGCGCGAGCGCGTAGAGACACACAAACACACATACACACGTACACACACGTACACACAACACGTAACTTCTTACCCCTTGTGATCGATAGTAATTGCCCTCTTCTTTCCCGTCCCCTCGGCGATATGCACAGGCAATTGAATATTGAGAGAGCGCTACCGCCCGCGGACTGATCCGCCGCTTGTTAGCGGCGAACTAACTTTCGCGGTCGAGAGCGCATACGTACGCGAGTTCGAAGTTGCACTCATCGCACTCGCGAGGACACCTGTGCCCTCTTCCTCTTTCGATCGATAGACGTTTTTCTTAAAACGGTAGGCTCTACACGGGGACTCCCCCTCCATCCCGCGCCAAGTAAACCCTCACACAGGGAACAGATGGTACACGCAATCGCGGAGTTATGTAAGAGCCCACGACGAGGTTTCTAAATATCGAATCGCGATAACAGTTTCGAGAGGAGAAATTAGCCCTTTTCCAAATAACGCCTATTTACTCGTGGAAATCGCGAGGAGAGATCGCCGTCGGCGCGTTTACCCGATTCCACCCCCGCGGGGATGCTGTTGGCACCTCCGAGGGTAAATGGGGAAATAAATTTTCGCGCGCGCGCGCACATGGCCTATTATTCCTAATTTGGACGAGAAAGAACGGGGGAAATCGCGTCGGTCCGGTTTTTCGCGGCGGAAAAACACGCCGCCGCGCGCCGTGCCTTGCAGATATACCTGAAATTCAGTTGCGCGCGTCAACCGACCGCGCGCACTCTCTCTCCGTCTATCGATCGGTCTTGAATAATTTCGCGGCCGGTTCTTTACTTATGCGCTTCGTATTTCAGCCCGCTGATTGCAACGTCGTGCTGCTGCTACTGGCGGTCGCCGTCACCGTTTCAAGAATGGCCATTGATATTATCCGTTTCCTCATTAGCGTCACGGGCGGAAAAAAAGTATAGCGCTATCGAAAACGCGCGTTTCCCCCGATCGTCATCGCGACGACACGACACGGCAAGAGAGTTCCTCAAATACCATTCGGACAATTTTTTATTGATCCGCCATTGTTTTAGACTAACCACGAAGAAATTTATATTTTACTATTATTTATTTTACATACTTATTATAGTAATAATAGTAATAAAAATTTATACACGTAAAAACACAAATTAAATTAAATTTCTTTTTATATTAAGAAACTGCACATTAAACTGATTTGAACATTTTTGTATTAGTAAGCTGATATTAAACTGATTTGAACGTTTTTAAAAACCGCACCAGCCTGAAAATGGTGGCAACAGAGTTCCTCAAATTTGAATATCGTTTGGATAATTTTTGATTGACTCGCAATTTGTTTTAGTTTAGACTAATCACGAAGAAAATTTTATTTCACTAATATTTATTTTACAGACTTACTTGTAATAATAATAACAGTATCTATACAATAGTATAACATTTACATACATATTGAATTAAATTCATTTTTGTATTAAAAAACTGATATTAAACTGATTTGAACGTTTTTGAAAAGCGTTTTAGCCTAAAAATGACAGACGATATTCAAAGTCTTACCAGAGGAACTCTGGTAACAGCAAACTTGGGTTCATTCATGGTCCAAAAGACAGGTTTTGAAACCGGCGAAGAATAAAAAAAAATGATATCGTTAATACAGTAGAGTTAACCAGACGTTCGCGCGCCAATAGGAATCGAACTCACGAAATCGCGAACGTGTGACCCACGTTGCATCGTTACAGCGGCTATTGCGAACTACGATTACAATTACAGGCAGATGCGCATCGTGGAACAATGAAACGTGATAACTCGTTTCCGATGACGATAAATTATCGCATAAATAGCGGCGCGAGGGGGGTGGGGGGGACGCATACACGAAATTGCCTTTTCTGCGAAATCAACTTTTCTGCTTTGTCGCAAAAGCGATTGCTTTTAGATCGAATAGACATTTTTTTTTCGCGATTGGTGGCGGAGAGGAGGGAGGGTGGAAACGGGGGAATGCGAGTATTACTCTTAATGATCAATTTTTTTTTCCGGGCGATACTCGTGTAAGGGCGTGACGCACGCACGTGTGTTTGTCGTTCGCATCAAATTTGATAAATCTCGACGAGAGTCGCTCGATCGGCCAGATTATTGGAACGATATTTCATAGAATGGAATATAATCCAGAATGGGATTGCAGAATCGCGCACGGGAATCACGCGTCGCCTATTAGCCCGACATTCTATTTCGTGAAACATTTTCGGTTTGAAAGTTAATCGGTTCAAAACCGAAAGAACGATTTAATCGAATTAATTTAATCAGAAGCGCCGATGCTCCGATCGATTTCATTAAGAACCGCTAAGTGGCAAAACACTCGACTGAAATAAACGAGTAAATTTGCCATATCAAATATACAGTGGTCCATTGTGCGCGCGCGATGTACGGTGTACGTGGGTATGAACAGGATATCTAATTGAAAATTACTTTCCCAACTCGTACAGATCTATAAATACCGTTGTTGACACGTTGACTGCCATGGTGGTTATCGAGCGCCTAACTTTTCACCAAATGTCCTGATGGTGTCTGGCGGGTTATGGAAATTTAATAAAGCATCTGCAAAAAAATAAATGACATTTAATATAAAATTTTGAATGACACAAATAGATAAAAACGTGAAGTAAAAAAGGCGCGATTCAATTACCATATGAGGTTAGTAGTTTTATTTAATCACGTAACATAGTATTTTATCATTATTTATTTTATCATGTGATGATGAAAATTCTACTGTAGCATACACGATAAGCTGGGCAATCGTGTTAAATTAAAAAAAAAACAATAAATTAGCGACGTTTAACACTGCGCGGACACGATGGGTCTTTTAGGCACAGTCAATTTTTCGTATTTTACACTTTTCTCTTGATGTTTCAGCATTTAAAAAAAATTGCAACAGTTCCGGCCTATGTGAGTACAGAAATCACTTTTTAAAACCTTTTGAACCTTGATACATGAATTTTTTGTAACACAGAAACGCTTTCAAAAACCCTTTTGGACTTAAAGTCCCAGGGTGTCCGGATGAGTGCTCCAAAAACACGGTGTCTGCGCAGTGTTAAGAATGCCAGGAAAGGTCTTTTGAGTGGTAGGGGACGGCGGGGGGGACATTGATGAGAAACGAATGCGTAACTGTTAACACCAGCCGACACAGCATTGGCCTCGAGAGTGTGAGCTTACTGTTGGGAACTATGCCAAACAGTTGAGGGGAGTCACGCTCGGCGCGACAGTCTCGCGTTTAAGCGACGATCAAGAATCAAGAGACACGGTAGTGTCTCACGCCAAGTACACGCGGAGCGAGACGCACCGGACTCTTTTACGCGAACGCACGAGTTGCGAGGCCTCGAGATTTTGAGATCTCAATAATGAGTGAACGGATCAAGTTCTAAGTAGGCTTGATCGATAGCTTGGGGTCAGCACGTGGGTCGGCATTTGGGGAGGGCACGTGTCTTTATTTTTCCTCCCTCATCTCGAAACGCCCACGAGAGTGATGGGATCCATGGTCACAGCTGCCGCGAAAGTTCCGCGTCGGAATAAAGAGACAGAAACGGATGGGAAATTTCGATTCCTCGGCGAAAGGGGAATCCGGGAGCCGCCTTAATGAACGTCCAGCAAGTTTTATCCGTATCGCGATCGCGCCTCGCGTGTGATCGACGCGGGACACGAAAGGCACGAAGAAATAAAAACAAAGTCCGTGCCTCGGGTTTCTTTCTCTCTGTCTCGCTCTTTCGCTCTTTCTGGATGAACGCCAAATAGTTCGCGAATTGACCTTAGCCCACTTCGCGCATTTCGCGCCGCGCAATCTTTCCCCCAATTGTTTCTCCCCGCGCGATTATCGGATTATCACGCGGGAATTTCTTGATCTGCCCGCCGGGATTCCATTCTGGCTGACATTCGCGAGTGCCTTGAGCCTTGAAGGCCTGGAGTATTCGATAAGAAAAACGCGGTGTTATTGTAATATATATCGCAAGTTGGATGAAAGCTAACGTTGACGTAACCAAAATGATTCTATACTGCTTTACATATGGAGATAAAATTAATACTCGCAAATGATGCTCGCAAAATGGAGAATTGATATCGAAGGATAGATTTCTCTCGCGTAAAATGCATTGCGTTTCGAGAATATAATGGCGATCGCCGGGGCGATCGTACTCACGAAAGCAATTTCCTTTAATAAGGAAATAAAAAAAAGAACGAGTTGAACGCGCGTTGCCCGGGAAATATGTCGGAGAAATAAAATTTCTCCCCTTCGAAAAGAGAAAACACCCGTCTCTTTTTAAGAGGGAGTCGCGTTTAAACGCGGCTGCCTGAGTCTTTACGCAGCGCGTAGGTGCGCGCGTGCACAGCTCCTGCAGGCGATCGCTATTAATTGCTTTAATTGCAGGGATAATTAATACGCGCCCTTTATAATAAAAACACTTCGAGGGCCGCGATTTGCGTATAATGGGCCGCGCGCAGAAATTCCGAATGAGACTTTTATTTGTCCCGGACGTATGAGGCAGACCACCCCTTTCCCTCCCCCTCGATTACTTTCAAAGTAGCTCTTGCATCGCCTTTACGGCGCGGCTCGGTCTCTATCCGGATGAGTATTAATTGCTGTAATTGCGGGGATAATTGATATTCCGTTTCATTGGAAACGGCACTGGAGCGGCGGGACGCGACGCCTTTTACATTGAAATTTTAACCCGATTTGAAAAAAAAATACCCGAGGCTCTTTTCAGCACTCTCTTTAAGACGCGCAAAGCAACGCCATTATCCGCTGACGAATTCCAGTCAAATTTCTTATATACGCTTCTTTCAACAGCCTGACGAATAGATATTTGTCAAAAGTCCTGAAGGGATAGCCGGATAGATAAATGCAACGTCGAACATTTTTGCGACTAAAGAAAATAAATTTATAGGATTAAATATATAGAACAATAAAATAAAAATGTAGGCTCTCTTGAATAAATCAAATAAGGTTGATAAAATTGGCAATAAGAGCCAGACGCAATAATTAGAGCGCAATATATTTCAGTATCAAATAGATAAATAAATATATAAAATAGATGAAAAAATTTATTTCTTTAACTTTTGTTTCTAATCGACGAGAAATAAATTGCCGCTATTTCTCCCCCTCCTTCTTTCTCTCTCTCTCTCTCTCTCTCTCTCTTTCTCTTTCTCTCTCTCTCTCTGAATAATTTTTGTTACGCCTTTTATCGATTATATATTAATAGGAAGGAGTTGAAATTTAATAATAAAATTTTCACAGACACACGCGTGCCTGTTCCAGCTATCCAGCACGAATTCCGGTCAGATAGCCGCGAGTCTCGGGAGGATTAAATAATTCCAAATTCAAGGGTCGCGCTGGCCGAGAGCCCCGCACGTTTTCGGACCGTGTTAAATATCTCCGAAATTAATTAATAATTTAATTCGCGGTGACGCGGGAAATCGACGCGGCCGGGGTTTCGATTTTCAAACGACGACGACGACGACGTCGGTGGCGGCGGCCGGCCGCCGCCACCGCCGCCGATCGCGACAGGCGTACTTTAATTAACTCTCGGTGGACGTTAATTTCGCTTAACTCGCGCCGGAACACGCCGGACTTCGTTTAAGGCACACAGCCGTCGCTATTGATACGCGCATATCCGCGGCCGCACTTCACAGGGGGCTGGCGTGTGTGCGCGGCGCGCCTGCCTGCGGCCGCAAAACACGAAGGCGGTGCCCGTCGCGTCGCGTCGCATCGCGTCGCGTATAGAACGGCGCATCAATTGTTGGAAATGCGGGACACTATCGCGACGAGGCATCGTGATTATTCCTTGACAGCCACTGTGCCGCGCACGGCCCCGTGTATGTTTCAAGCTTCGCGTGAACGTACGTATACGCGTATACATACGTCACGTCATCGCGTCTGCCTGCCTGGCTGACTGCCTGCTGGCTGGTCGAGGGAGAAAGGCCCTTCGAAAGTGACGGCAAGAAAATCGCATATCTCTCTTCCTTCAACGCGATTTTATAAAATTCCGCGAATTTTGTGTTTTATAATACGAATTTTCCTCCGGCGCGATTTTCTCCAAATTAATTCGTTCGAATGCCGCGCTTAATCCGCTTCGTTCAAATATACATTTGTTCTTCATTTCCAATTCGTTTATCTATTTTAGTATTATTTTAACGTCTCTTTAAATATCTTTACATGCTGCAAATTTACGCGTCGCAAATTTACGCGACAAAATTATTTTCCGCGAAACGCGACCGGAAGAAATATTCCGGAATTATTTACGACATGTTTAACGATAATCCACCACTCGTTCGGGGCCATTGGTGGACGATAAACAGTCCCCTGTGGTAAATGGGCTACCACGTTTTCTTCCCACGCGATGTTTCTTACCCAACGTGGCGCGATCAATAACGTGACTCGAGATAGAGTGAATCGATTGCCGGGAGTAACAATTATTGCCAGCCAATACTTTCGCCTGGTACACAGTCGAAATTAGCACACAGAGGATTTCGTGGGAGGTACATTATACCGCGAATCTGCATCTGAATGTGGATCTTTTCATAGAGACGAATAGATTAATTCAGCAGCGATTGAACCAATAGAATATCTTACCTTTACCATGTGCAGACACGTCCTATAAAATATGATAATACATTAAAAGCATTAAATATTAACATAATTATATTAAACTCACATGTTTAATCCATTTTCTAGAAACTTCGTTTCATTTGTAACTTCCATAAATGTATAAATCAAAGTGATATATATGTATATCGTTCCAAAGTCACTGTTTTATTATCTTGTTGTCAGATATATTTCGACGATTGTCTAAAATTAAAATACACAATTTTTTACTCATCGATAATTCAGCAAAAATGATAATACTAAATGTATAAAGCTTTGATCCCGTCCGATATAATAAGATTCCACAGTGAACCAGCATCCTCGATACAAAATATAAAGATGCCAAAACCAATAATTATCCAGTAATTAAATTCTATGTAAATTGCACGTGCGGGCAGAGTAACCTTTATAAACAAGCGGGATTTACGAAAAGACCAAATAATAACATAGTATGTAATTGAAGCTAAAAATAATTTATATCAAAACAAATAAATCTGAATGCAGAATATATATAGATTTTTCGTTTCCCACAGGAGACCAAGAGGCCGTCGAAGGAGATGCAGGTGACAATCGCGAGGCAATTGGGCCTGGAACCGACGACGGTCGGGAACTTCTTCATGAACGCCCGACGCCGCTCCATGGACAAGTGGAAGGACGAGGACCCGAAGACGGTCGCGGTCGAGGAGGAACAGTTGTCGCCCACGATAGGGATCGGCCAGCGCCAACCGAGCGACGTTTTGTGACACACGTCCGACCACGAGGAGTACCACGACGAATCGCCCGACGAGGACCTGTCCTTCTCGTAAGGGCAGCGTACTACCTCGCGGACGTATCCTTGCCGACACGCTTAGGCCTTTCAGACGACCTCTCGACGCGTCACGCGAATTGTAATTCTCACAAGTCACCTCTACGTTCAGAATATCGTTGACAATTGGCTATCCGAGATATCGCTTATATCGGCTAGCCAAACAAAAAATTCTAGAATCGTTTTATTTATTCGACACTTAATTCACCAGACATTTGATAAACAATTAACTTCGAGCAAAGCATTATTTGAAGAATTTTAAATCTTCAGACATCTTTTGCAATCACACGAGAGATTATAGACTATGTAAAATTAAAGATATTAAATTATTATCGTTTTAAATTATTATCGTGTTGAATGCGCGTCAATGAGGATCGTCTTTGAAGATCGAACTGTGTCGAGCAGGGGCGTCCTAGCCGCTGAATGCGAACGATCATTACAACTCCCGCGAAGCGATCCGGATTAGATCCGCCGATCTTGCGTTTCTTTTTCTTTAGGCTAGTGCGTTCCTAAGTATTCACGATCGACAGATCGCTCCACGTTGAAGCTCTTAAATCGATGTTCGAAGTCGAAAAACGAACGAGTCGATTACATACAATGGTTTTCTACTTAATTTGTCACACGAGAGTTACCCGTACGTATATTTATTATTCTCTCACGCGCAATTTGTCTCTCACAGAGTAAACCGGCCGTTCCTCTTACGATGTGCCGTAATTTTAAGGTCGCAACTTGCGTTAACGATAACGACTCGTCTCGCGTGTCTCGACTTCGAGCACCTCGCAAACTTTGTGCCATAGTTTGCCATATTAGCATAAGTTAATCCTGTAACTCGGCGCTGCGCGCTCGATTCTTAGCGTTCTAGTCCACTGTAATAAGTTCCAAGAGGAGCCATTCGCCTGCCCTTCATCAAACTGATCGGAGGCCGAGGCGGTGGTTCCTCTCCTCTAGTCAAAATTCAGAAGCTCGAATTCTGAATCCGCCCTCCGCGCCGAAAAATGCGAAGGGAATTGCTTCGAAATCGCTCGCGTTCTTTCTTTTTTTCTTCTTCCTTTCGCGCAGATAAGTTATGTTTTATTCACCGCGCCGAAACGGGGGCGTTTATTGAAGCGACCTCGAGATTCTGGGGGCTCGTTGGCTCTTAATTGTTACCTTATTTTTTTTTGTTCATCTTAAGAGTAGAACGGTCGCTGCTTTAAGAATAGCAGATATCGCGAGAGCAAATGTCGAGTAACCGCACGGAATTCCAAGCGCTCTGACAATCGCGGGCGAGTAAATACTTAGAAGAGTCCGTTTTCCACTTTTTCTTAATCCTCGAGACAAGCCCTCCCCCTAGCCGCGCACAGCGGCGGTGCCGGAAGTTCGAGGAATCTCCGATGCTCGATCGAGATACGTCACGAGTTAAAGCAGCGATTGACGGAATCCTATACTGCGTGCGCGTTTGAGATTAAAGTACATTTTATTTCGTTCACTGGTTCGTGAGGAACTGGCGGTTTTCGAAGCAGCGATTGACGGAATCCTATACTGCGTGCGTTAACGATTTCGTTTGAGATTAAAGTACATTTTATTTCGTTCATTGATTCGTGAAGAACTGGCGGTTTCCGATACTACGGGGTGTGCTTAAAATCGCGCGATTTCTCTCGCGGATTTTTTTTGCGCACTCGATTTTGCCTTTTCCTCGGTATAGTTTGAATTCTCCGACAGTTGTTGAAATTGTAAAATCCCATTTTTGTAAAGTAGAACAGCGCGCAGCGCGATCGAGGGGAAGAACGCGATTTTTTAACGCACCCCGTACGTATTATTAAATCGAACCCCCTTGAGGAATTAACCGGTTAGCGGTGAGATCCGATGATGATCGCGCAATCAGCGGCGCGCTAAATGCGCGACCGGGCTCGTCGTGTCCCTCGTTGGTCAGACGAAACGTGAACCAATTTTCAAAGTGGCTTCGTGTGAGGGTACACGTGCCAAGTGATATATATATGTATGTATAAACATGTATATCAGAGAGTGGACACTCTTTTGTGCGAACCGATGGCGGGAGGGAGGTTTAGTGGGGAAAGGGAGAAACGGGGAGAAAGAGAGAGAGAGCAATTTTTAAAATGGGTGGCTGCACCGCTGTGTACGAGAGACAGAGACAGAGAGAATGAGTGAGAGCCTGTGAGAAAGAAAGAAAAACAGAGTGAGAGAGTGAGAACGAAAGAGAGCGAGAGAGAGAGACTTTAGCGAGCCGCACTCGATATCGTACTGCAATTGTGCTGTGCTATTGTACATACTTAAAAAAAAAGGAAGAAAAAGAACAAACACGTACGTATACAGATAGACATAACACGTACACACTTTTATTACGTAAGCGGCGTTCGCTAAGCCGGGCGAAAACGAATCGGTGTGACGTTTGATTGCAGAAAAGTGCATTCTAGCCGACTTGCACTTCGCGTCTGTGGCTCCTGCGTAGAGAATTCTTTTGTGCTTCGACACACAAAACACATATACATATATATATGTACACATACACACATACACATACACACGTACATCGACGCGACGTCGCGATGTGACGAGCGATCGTTTCTGCGAGATTTCGTTGGAAACGACATTTTATATCACGCCCTTCTACTTTTTTGTGCGATCGCGAGAGGATCATTTATGCTAGTCGGATTTAGTACAGAATGAATCGCGAGTGAATGCCGAGATTCAATCGGGGATTGACAAAACGATCCAGGAGTATCGAGGGATGAGCTTGATCGCGAAAATAAATTTGCTACATGTTCGCGTGCTTTATCGACTCCATGATAATTAAAATTTTTTTACAATTCCTTTGGCTTGCAATCCAAAGACCGTAAAAAAATCTCATACCGTTAAGATCAAAGATTGGAGGGAATATATTAATTATTTTTCGATTGCACGAGTTCAAACAGACCGAATAAAATAAATAAAATGTATGCGACCGCGATTTCGCGATGAATCGATCGAATTTTGAAAAGCGATAGACTCTCGATACATTGAGATCAGTTTTCTCGAGAAGCACGAAAAGACTCGCCGTCGTGCGAGGTTTCGTAGGGTATGCGATCATTCGTCTCTCGCGAGTGGGATGTCTCCTTTTCGCACGCGAAAACGCCCGTTCGATGTTTGTTCGGCGATGTTACCTACGGCATGTTACTTAATTTATTATATTTTAGGGTAGAGAGGATGCGCGGGCGGCGCGTTTGAACCAGCTTTCGAAAGATAACAGCAGTTCGTCACCGAGAGAGAGAGAAAGAGAGCGTGTAATTTATTGTGTAATATTTTGTAAAGTTATATCGAATCCCCTTAGTGTGCATGGCGACTCGAGGTATGTTACCGCTTTCGTGCAACAGCGACAACAACAGCAACAATCTCCTCTCTAAAGAATCCGAGTACACACCGAATACACGAATTTCCCTTAAAGTTGCACGTTAATTGATTAGCATTTCAACGCTACTCTGATTATTTATTATTAATTTATCACATACGACGTCTCAAATAAACGGTCATTCAAAGCGAGCATCACAATTCTGAGTGTGTTTGGAGACTTGAGTGCTCCGTGCTGGATTAAAAAATACCCAAATGGCGAATCGGCAGTCGGCTCGAAACGCGGAAAAGGACAGGTTCGCATCCCATCGCTCCTGCTTCGAAGGAGCCGCGTTGTCCTGTGATCGCGGGCGAGAGGATGCGAGATCTCTTCCGACACGAAGATAAATCCACGGTACCAAGAGAGACGCGAGCGGCCTCCTCGGTCGTCGGTTTAAGATCATATATAGTACAAAGTAAACATATATATTTATATATATATAATTGTATATATATAATTATATTGTATATATATAATTGTATATATATATAATTGTAATAACAGTGTTTAATTATACATAAGATATAATATATATATTATATATATGAGGGAACGTAACGCGCGCGCGGTCGCGCTGTTTTTTGACGGAGTATGTTCAAATAGGACTCTGTGTTAAATCGTGGAAGAGAAAGAGGCGAAAGAAAACGCGGAATCAGTGGGGAGCGTCGAGTTCTCTCTCTCATGGGAGTTCCACCCTCGTTGAAAATGATTGTGTCACGTTGTCAGGCGCGATAATCACGACAGAGTGCAAGAATTGCGACGGAATTTACCCCGCGATGTTCCTTCTCCATGGTTCCGACGATTCAACGAATTCGCGATTAACAAGTCAGTTTTGACGGAAGTAACCGACTAATAATTTAACCTTGCAATTTGGACGACAGTGCGCGAATGTTGGTATCTTAACGCCAGTGTTAAAAGTCCTAGGAAAATTTCTGCGAGAATTTTTGTATTTATTTTATTACGATTTTATAATTACTGCGAAACG